TTGAGGGACTTGTACTTTACTTTACTGAGTGTTTCAATTTTTCTACTACTCCACTACAATTCAGAGGTAAATAGTGTTCTACTCCACTACATTTATATAATACCTGCTGATTTAAATTAATGGTGTGAAATATAATCAACACTTAAAAAATACTTAACCTGACACCTGGAGTAATATTTACGATCTACCCTGCACCTTTACCAGCTTTGATAATGGTCATCTAAACTTATAATATATACTATTCCAAAACGGGCCTTGCGCATATAGAGTACTTTTGCTTTTGGTAGTATATTTGGTTTCTAATACATACATACTTTTACTTGGGTAACATTTTGAATGCAGGACTTGTAACGGAGCATTCCTACACCCTGGTACTTTTACTTAAGTACAAGATCTGAGTACTTCTCCCACCTCCGATTATAATAGGACATTTAAATACAACTAATACAAAGTTAGTTAAGAGCAAAGAGGATAGACGTTACAAAAAGCTAAAATAGAACAAGACGGGTATAAAATAAAATGAATAATTCTTTGATTTGTGTGCACATAGGAGTATGCATGCTCGAATGTAACAGAGGCCTTGCATATTTCTATGTTTGTGAGTGCAGGGTTGGCTGCCTGCAGTGGGACAGAGGTGTTGGTGGGTGAGCAGAAGGAGACGGCAGCAGAGAAAGATGGAGGGGAAAGAGAGAGTCCCTCAGGCGTGTCCGGGCTCTGATGGCTCCCCTGACAACCTCCTCTGTAATGGTCTCCCTCTCTCTCTGAGTGCTGTGAAATTGCAGGCCGGCGCTCTACAGCTGAGGACTCGGAGGAGACAAACGGCCTTTTAATTCAGAGCGCAGAGAGGTGACGGAGAGGGAGGCCCGAAGGGAGGGCTACCAGTCAGACATCCATCATACTAACCTCTCCCTTGGGACTGGCCCTGCCAAAGAGGGGGCCCTGGAGGTGGTCTTGAGCGTACATGTGTGGGAGCGTGCACGTCTTTGGGGTTGGGGTGACACCGCATGCATTGAATGGCTTCTGCAGGAATAGAGGAGGAGGGGGAGGAGGCGGGGGCGGCGCTGGTCTGCTCAGGTGTCCAGGCTGTCAAGGTGCACAGTGGAGGGGAGGTGGAGGTAGATTTCTTTTCTCCATGTCTCACATTTAACTATATGCACCTTTTTTTTTTTCGATATATATTTCTATCTTCTCATTTTCCCTTTATGGCTTCATTTCAACTCCCAGTGCACAGCAGCTACTACAAATAACAAGCTACTTCTCTAAAAAGAAGGTTGTTTCTTTCTGTGTTTTAAAATATTTCCTCAAATCCAATTACTACAAACATTAACCTTTATTTCTATCATCCTTCGTGTGCAGATTCTGTCGGAGCACATACTGAAGGGACACCGAGGGTTCAGGGTTTGTGTGTATCACGGTATTTGTACTCGCTTTGCATTACTAAATAAAAAATCATTGAGGAATGATGCAGTGCAGTGCAGCTGCAGAGGTATTTCATGAAGGCCTCTTAGCAAAGAAAAGGCAGAGATGCTCAGATGTTGTACCTTGAAAAATACGTGTTGTGATGCTCTGCATGCTCTTAGTAAACCGTTGCAGGGGTAAACTAACAAAGCCTCTTTCCCCTCGAATAGATCAATACATATGAAGAGTTTTCTGCAATTTATAAAATAGTCATCAAAAATATTATTGTATATTTTCATTCCTTAATGAATCCTATCATTTCGGCTAGAAGGCTTTCGCATGAATGTGTTGAATCCTAAAATGTTATTCAGGGTATTGATGTTTAAGCTTTATTTTCAATTGTAATAACAATTTTTATTTGGAAAATGTCTGTTATTTAAATGAAATTACTCATAGATTGCTTACAAAAAATGTGAGTCATAGGCCTGTTTCTATTAGTTATGTGACCTGCGGGGAATATATCCTATGTAAGCAAAACACCGTTTTTATCAGGTTTCTTTAATGCTATGGAATTGTCTAATCAGTGTGCTCATATATTATGATAATGCAATGCATAAACCATGATGTGGTATGTTTTACTCCACCAAAATAACTATTTTTGAAGGGATAGGGTGGTTTACAAACTTCTGCAGGTGCCTTTAAGTCAACATAACTCTATAGCAGGGGTCTCCAACACGTCGATCGCGAGCTACCGGTAGCTCGCAAGCCCTCAATAGGTAGCTCGCCAAGCAAATCCAAAATGTAAAAAATACACCAAAAATAAAGGAAATGTAATTAAAAGAATCTACCCTATGCATAAATGAAACCTCAATCATAGCGAACTCTATCTACTTACTACAACTCTATATCTATCTAACACCCCTCCTCCCCCCACCCCCCACAATGAATATCGACCAATCACGTTCTTGCTTGATTTGCGGGACCAGCGTTGCAGTCGGGAAGAAAAGCAATGTGGAGCGGCACCTCACCGCTTCACCTTTCCTTCTGGCAGAATCTACACATCAGCCCCATTGAACACAGCATGCCAGCCTATACCGTAAAACACATGAGGGGCAGAGTTTTACTGTGTGTGTGTTGTTGCAACTTGCATATGTATTGCACTTGACGCACACACACGCATGGTGTAATTTCCACTGGGGACAGTCCCCCCAACTTTTCGAAATCCTGTTTGTGTCCCCCCACTTTACAAATATGTTTATTATTATTTGTTAACGCAAGCCGTCATCGCCACGGAGGAGCACACAGCCTCTGTGAGCGAGCGAGACAGAGAGAGAGAGAGAGCACACATTTATCTATTTAATATAGTTGTAACAAATAAAGTAAGAAATAATTCCAATGTGTACTATATTGTATTTAAAAGGGGAGTGATTAGTAAAAGATGCATAAATAGAAAGAAAAAATGCTAACTAGGTAACATAAGATAAGAATACACAAGTTTAAATGATTTGTTATTGGTTGTGATCATATTCTAAAGATGTTTGCATTATTGAAAAGTATACAGCTCCCTTTCATATGAGTGTTGAGAGCTGTATCCATAAATTCACTTTGTGCTTAAAGTGCACCAGATTGATGGATTTAACTTCAACATTTAAAAAAAAAAATCTTCCCGGGGCTGCATGCCCCTGGACCCCCCTAGAGGATGTGAGGTCCACCCCAAATAAAGCAGGTTAAAATAATTAAATTGAATACATTTTCTTTTAGTAAACACGAAACGGGTCCCACAGACCCAAACAGCACACAAAGGTTAAAGGTAAGCATATAATAACGTTAAAATTTGCTAAATATATACACTGCAAAAAAAGAAAAGAAAAGAGGAGTAAAAGTAGCTCACGACTTGTTTTATTTTTTTAAAGTAGCCCTCATCCTAAAAAAGGTTGGAGACCCCTGCTCTATAGGAATAAGTATCAAAGGGAAATAAAGGACAGTCCTTGAAGGAAAAGGCTCTAGAATTGTTTTCCAACATTGATGTTGTCCCTATAGCAGGATGAAATGCCATGCCAGGGTCAAGATAAGAGTTTGCATTCAACATGTCAGAATGCATTGAACATACAGTAAACAGGGTGTAAATAGAAGAAAGTATAAGCTATGTGTGATCACATAGGCCATAATGTATGATGTCCCCATTGAAAAGAGAAAAGCCTGTTGCTGTCCTTGGTGCTTCGTGCTTTTGGTACCAGGGACAGCTCCTTTTTTTCACAGGTGAGGGTCTCTCCGTTAGGGTCGTGTACACAGCAGAGCAAAGCAAAAGCAAACAGGGTTTTTTTCTTCTTCTATGCACAATGCAAAAGGGCTACATTCATTCAAACAAGAGATGATTGGACACATTTGCCTCACATGCTCGTTTTCCCACCGTTTTCTCCTGAATACCACCCCCCTCCTTTTTTTTGTCTCACCCGTGTTGTAGGCTATAGGCTAAAGGGCGCTGTGTTAGGAGCTCTGATAATTGAGGAAACTCATTCAGGCTTGTCTCTACAAAGGCCTGGAATACACAGGTTAAATCACTGCTACCTGCAGCATACATCCACACTTGGTGTCCTGGGTGTAATTTTGATATAGAAAAACAGTAATTATGTACCACAGCTGAGAAATTGAGACTTCTTTGAATGGGTCTGCAACCGAAACAATTTTGGGATGCACAAAAAGGGGCAAAAACAGCCAATTAATTTGGAAAATTATGAATAAAAAGAAAAGATGGTATAGAACAGTTGATAGCCATTACCTGACTTCTCCTTTCAGATGTCAATGTGCCCTTCGGCAACACAAGGACACGTAGACTTAGGTGCTTTGAGTATGTATGGCCAAAAAAGTCAGAAAAAAAAAGTTTTGCCAAATAATATAATGGATTTATAATGCATTTATAAGTCCTTTTATCTGGCATAACTGTAATTAATAATAAATTAAAGAGGTATAAAGGACTTAATATATATAATATTGACTCATTACAATTTGTCTATTTACCCTTTTTATTGCATTTCCTTCATCTCTTATGACTACCAGCTGTTGTTTATCTGTTCCTCTCTAAATGTTGTCTTGGATGACCTATAATCGTTTAAAATGAGTCAAAATTCACACCTAATGTTATTGAAATGAATCATCATTACCATGGAAAGAAAAAAATGCTTCTCGGCCGCATCGCTAACATGAATTAGCGTATTGCATGTTTGCTTAACTGCGAACTAACAAAACGAGCCTGTTGGTAAATATTGAAATTCCCTTCGATTGGTGGCCACTCTGTTAAAGCACCGGGTGACCAGGCTCTCCCTATTGATGAGCTCCAGCTAATCCATCGCATTTCCCTGTAAATAGCTTTCTGCATGAGAAAAGGCCCGCGGCCCCTCCTCTGCAGCCTGCACAGCCTCAATGTGATGCAGGAGCGTTTTGTCACAAGGCCATTATGAGGTTGTGTAGCATTAGCCCTTGTTCGGCTACTCCCATTCCCATTGCATCTATTCACATTCATCTCTGTGGCAGCAACGTGCCATTTAAACGCCTATCGTACAGGTATTTCCTAACCTTCCTCGTGTTTTGTGGACTTTGGAGGTGAAAGTCCGATCAAAGATGTTACAGGGGGGATCTCGGGTGGCACTAACTGATGCGTTTTTCCTTATAAAGTCAGTCTCTGTGCCCCACCATGGAACCTTCCACATGCATGCCTGGCCCTGTGTTCCTGTGTGTGATGCAGGTTCGCTCCGAGGCTTCAGCTATGAACGTGTAACCATAACAACTGTGTTCTGATTGGCTCTCCTGCCACGGGAATTAACGAGGGCGTTATCCAATGTGAGCGCTGGCAAAACCTCGTGATAACCACAGCCACAGTGATGAGAAAGTGGCGGCGTGAGGTGAGCCCGTAAGGAAATGACTGGACCCAAAACAAAGCATGAGCGAAGGGATACATTATTAGAAATAAACGCGTTTGAATAATGATGTTTTAACTGAGTTGGCGTGTGAAAACATGTCCGGTTTGTCCATTACGCAGTCCATCAGCTGGCGCGGCTGAAGCCTCTCGTCCTCTCTTTTGGATTGTGGATTGTGACAAGTGCCAGGACAGCAGCAGAACAGGACCAGGACTAATACTACCCTTCTCGGGGATTGTCCCTCTGCTGCCTTTCAACGGGAGGTTCCTCCACTTTTCGCCTGACAGCCCACCACCCGGAGCCAAGACGTTGTTCCCCGTAGACCCGGGTTGCCCCAGTCCGAGCAGCGCAGTCCGTGTGGGCAGGTCGGCACTCGGCGTCCTGCAGGCCGGAGACATGATGGCACACTGTGCCGGCTGTGAACGGCCCATCCTGGACCGGTTCCTCCTCAACGTGCTGGACCGAGCCTGGCACTCCAAGTGCGTCCAGTGCTGCGAGTGCAGCTGCGCCCTCTCCGAGAAGTGCTTCTCCAGGGACGGGAAGCTCTATTGCAAAACTGACTTTTTCAGGTACCGAGTCTGGATTCAAAGTTATTTAATATGGGCTCTGACTCCCGTCTTTCCAAAAAAAAATACGCACAATACTTTGATTTAGGATCAATGTTTCCAGGGGTACAAACAATTAAAAGATAAGAGGAATACAAAAACATACCAGCAATAGTAATGTGGCCCACAAAATCAAGCCTGAAAATAATTTCTATGTGAAGGCAGGCCAAAATATCAAGTCAAGGCAAGTGTAATTATATTACCAGCAGAAGAGAGCTGCCCAAAAACCAATGTAGAAGTGTACATTATTTATTTAAATAGCAGGCTTTTAAAATAAATGATCAGTCGTGTATTTTTGGCCTTTTAAAATGGGGCCTCTACAACAAAACAACTAACATTTAATTTCATTGTGCATCCACGTATTCTGCGTTTTTATCTATTTTCCAGATCCAGACAACACTTTTTCCCAAACACCCATTAGGCTATTAACCGGTTCACAATTCCTAAAAAGTGTCTCAGGTAATTGAGTGATAAGTGAAGCCCTTGATTGTCCGGTCGCACTCTCTTAGCATCATTTTCATTTGTATGTGTCAGTTATTTTCGCCCAAATTGTCTAATGACATGTAAGACATTAGCTTTTGTCCGGACGGGCTGTTATTGGCCTCGCACGGCCTTGGCCATCATATTAGTGCAGGTCCCATCAAGCGGTGGATTTAAATGGCCAGCCATTAGCCAGGCGAAACAGTAATCACCCTAATATGTCCATTTGTTGTGTAAGTAGAGTTGTGCCCTTTCGCTGGGGGAGGCTTGGCCATGCATGTGAAAGAGGGGACAGTGGAGCGATACCATTGTAAATGGAGAGACAAGCCTACATTAGTGTTAAAACAATGCTCCACAAAAGGAGTGCTTGCTTTCACCCTGAGGCTTAAGCACCCCCCGACAGGCCGGCTGAAAATCCAGGTATAACAGGCCCAAAGAGAGCCAACATCTGCCTTTAAACTCTTCATATAGTAAAAGCATTAATGCAGGTGATAAACACTCACTGAATAACTCTTAATAATACTCAGGTGTGATTTATTTCACCCCTTTCCTCCATTATGCAAATACAAAAGCAGTCCTTCCAAATCAGGGGGGGTATTCTGCAGAATTTATTTTTGGGTTATTTGTGTATCAAATTGATGAGTCTTCCCACTCGGTATTTAAGCGGGTGAATATGGATTAAGAGAAGATTTTCACGCTAAAATGATCCTACTATGCTTAATCCTATAATATATCCGTGGCTACAATGTGTTGATTGTCACTAATACGTTTTGCGTGGGGTTATTGTCAGAGCACCTCCATCAAAAATAATGAGCATGCGTTTTCTCTCGATCCTCAATATAAAAAAGGCAAAGACTGATTTTTTTCCTATTTTATTTCTTTCGTTTGACGCGTCTCCGTCGCTACTATAATTGTTCCCAGAAGATAGAGACAGGTGACATGCGTTTGCTTTTTTGTTTATTGTGAATGGTTGTTTACTTATTACTAAATACATAGGATACTTTACAAAAATATTGAATAGTAGCCTACTGCTAATGTATTATTATACGGACTTTTACTGGAATCATGAGAAGCATTGTCTCAGCATAGTTTTAGTGTTAAAATATATATTATTACTATTATTGCAATTATTATCATGCTGTTATTATTACTCTGTGCTGGTATGTGCTAGTATAATATTTGGCTGGAAATAAAAACAGTTTTAGCATTATTATATTTTGGATTGTGTTAATAATGGCCTAAGTGTTAGTGCTGGAACTATATATTCCTACCAAACTATTATGATATAATTATCACATCTTATTATTACTGATATGGTTATTTGGAGAAAATCAAGGCTGATTTTTAAAATCATGTCTTGTCCCCAACAAGGGCTTTTTGTGCTTCTTCTGTCATCATTTTGTGTGGGCCTTAACTCGATGCAATCTCGCTTTTGTATTTAATAACAACAAAAAAACATATTTGACATTATTTTTCGTTTTTTGCAGGCGGTTTGGCACTAAATGCGCGGGCTGTCTGCAGGGCATCTCTCCAAACGACCTGGTCCGCAAAGCACGTAACAAAGTGTTCCACCTGAACTGCTTCACCTGCATGGTGTGTAACAAGCAGCTGTCCACGGGAGAGGAGCTTTACGTGATAGACGAAAACAAGTTTGTGTGCAAAGAAGATTACGCCAACTCCGGGGCCATTAAGGAAGTCAACTTGAACTCAGGTAATCAACGCGATAATAAGTGTGTGTTCGTCTCTTTTTCCATCTCAAATCGCCCTGTTCTGGACAAATAAATAAATCCACATCTGATAAATAGAATTGGCTTTTGAATAGAGGAAAATATGATGGAGCCTATAATGTCCCGTCATATTCAGTTTTTTGTTGAACCTTTGCTTTGTCCGTGGAGAGCATTTCACAACAACCTTGTCAGATGATTGGTTTCAATATTTGCCTTCCGCAGGACAATGGCTTTCTATTATTGTACACCATGATCCGCTGGGGATGACGTTAGTGTGTCCAGCTCCTCTTCCCGCAGTCTATTCATCCCCATCCCGCCTGTGCATTCAGACTGACGCTCCCTTATCCTGAACGGCCCAAATGTGTACATAGACGTATTTGTGTGTGATATTCAATCATGTGCAATGTAGCCTTCTGTATGTATTTAATCAGAAATAGTCTTCAGTGATATATTTAACAAGCTATTTTATGAAATCTGCAAATACCTTCAATAAGTAATAATAATAATAATATATTAAGCAGAAATGCAGTCCAACGCTCATCTCAGCCACAGAAAATGTATAATACCAAGAGACGTTGAATAGCCTATAACATAGACCAAAACAAAGTAATATAGGTAATGTAACTAAAAGGTGCATTAAAAAGAGGATAGTGCACATTCACAATCAAGTAGGGGACATCTCACCCATGTGCCTTTTTTCTGACAGTTTTCAATGAAATATGACACATATTTTGAATGCATTTTCTAGTGTTGCCGCTGTGCATCTCCAAGCCTAATTAAAAAAACACCCCCCCCCCTCCCCCTCCTGCGTGACATTTCGGATCGTGACCTTCCTCTTGTTTGTTTGCCCCTCAGTGTCGTCGTGTACAGATAGGAGTTTATCGCCGGATCTGCAGGACCCAATACAGGACGACATAAAAGAGACGGACAATTCCACGTCCTCTGATAAGGAAACGAACAATATTGAGAATGAGGAGCAGAACTCGGGGACCAAAAGGCGGGGGCCCCGGACCACCATCAAGGCCAAGCAGCTGGAAACGTTAAAGGCCGCGTTTGTCGCCACGCCGAAACCCACCCGGCACATCCGGGAACAACTGGCCCAGGAAACAGGACTAAACATGCGCGTCATCCAGGTAGGATCAGCTGTGAGCGTGTGCAGAAAAGTGAATGAAATAGGGGAGGGTCAGCAGAGACAAAGACAAATTAGAGACAAATTACGGATTATAAATTGCTTTTTGATTTAGCTGGAATTAACTGAGTTTTTAATTGAAGGCCTCATCATGTGTTAGAGAAATGTCAAACATAATGTGCTCTATTAGCTGCATATAGATTAAATCTGACATTATCCCCCACGAATTCCATACAAGTGCACGTTTTATATTGCTAAAGCCATTTTGATGGAATTGTAATCTGAAATAATAATGATACAAATATTTCTAAAATGGGGATAATTGCCTAAACACGTGACAAAGACAATCTTTGTCATCTTGCATTATAATTTGTATTTTAACAACAGTCTTATAGTAAAACTCAATCATGTGGAAGCAGTGTGTGGTCTAAAATGAGTTTTATTTCCCCACATAACAATGTAATCTCCCCTGTCTTTTATCATTTAAAGTAGCCCCAAAATATTCTACATTTCACATTTTTTATTTGTTTTTCTACTTTTAGAATAATTCCACTGATGATTTTATTTAAAGCACTACTTTAAAAAATATGGTCTGTTCATTCCACTTTTTTTTCTTCCTATAAATTCCACTTCACTATTTGCGTTTAATTTCCACGTCGCTGTACACCTGCAGGCGTTCATTTATGCCCTGAAATTAAGTTCTACTAATCCAATTTACTGATACATGGATATAATAAATACCTTTTTTTAAAGAATGTAATTTATTTTGTGCAGACAGCGGTTCTTTTAGTAATCAAACATGTTGCACAGCCATGAAATTAGTAAAAGGTTAGTTTGGTGTTTTGCCAGAGGCAGGAGAACCTCCAAACATGATTTGCAGTTAAACACAAACACACACTGTTTTGGACCCTGTCTGCCTTTTTCACCCTCAAACACAAACACACACAAACACACACACACACACACACACACACACACACACACACACACACACACACACACACACACACACACACACACACACACACACACACACACACACACACACAGTGTCTGAGTTGCAGACTGTGTCAGGATGATTAGCACCATCTCTGCCAACTGTGATGTGGCTTTTTGTGCACTCACTGTAATTATCGCTGATTTCACAGATTTACATACCACCCTCCCCTTTCCCACCTCTCTGCTCTTACTCACTTGCAGCCTGTTCCCACTGCATATCAGAGCAGACCAGGACCTCTCCAGAGCCCCTTCTATATCATATACTGCAGGCTGCTGTGTGTGTGCGTGTGTGGTGTGTGAGTGTGAGAGCTGCATCAACAGAGCTCAATCAAGCAGTCAATCAATCAATCAATCAATCAATCAATCAATCAATCAATCAATCAGGCAGTCGTCCCTCCGCTGTGATCCCCACCCCTGTGTGTTGCTTGGAGCCAAAATGGAGGCTGTGTTTCGTCATCTTCCTCCTCCTCGCTCACTGTGTGTTAAATACCATTGCTCTCAACACGGGGAGCCCTGTGAGCCACGCTGCTTTCTCCAGCATGTGTATGTAATCCCTAAGCAACGCTCTCTCGAGGGGAGCGGGAGCATTTCCATAAAAATGTACCCTACAGTTAGACGATTGTTCTCAATAAGCAGGTGTCGCCTCTGCCGCCGGAGCACATAGAACAGCGTCTAAGTGGTTTTAGGTGTTTTTGTGTGTGTGTTGTTGCTAATCTCTAGCACAGTGGGATTTTGCCTCTGGTGTAGCCTGGCTGGGGTGAGCATACATCATTATACAGCAGTGATGCAAAGGCGAAACAAGATATGTTATGTGCTTATAATGCAGACACTCTTCCATATGGTGTGTAGTCAAATCCTCCTTTGTTCCTCTTCAAAGACAGTTTATCTAACGTTGGTGAAAAGGCTCTGATTTGAAGCTTTAACAGTTTATTTGAATGTTACTAAGTTGCATTAGGTTGTGTGTTGGGGCCATAGAGTTGGGGCACAATTGCTAATCCTCTGTATTGTGTCTTTGTATACAATCATAGATAACACGTTTCATTTTAAACAGAACATCTTTATGAGACTTTACTCCTCTGTTTCTTTGATACTTTGTGCTTTCTGGAGAAATATTGTCACACTTCTATTATGTATATAAAAGGGTGAAATACAGGTACCAAACAATTCTGGTATAAAACGATATGCAAATCTGTTATTTTGGTTGGTTTTGACATTTTCCGTGAGCTGGAACTGCATTTGAATGGTTTACGCGTTTAGTTGAACTTTAACAGCATTAGAGGAGTTTGTTTGTGCCATTTGAATAATAATAATAATAATAATTCATTTATTTTATATAGGCGCCTTTCAAGGCTCTCAAGGTCGCCGTACAAACACATAAAAAACAAGATACACAATACCTAACACCAGCATAAGAAACATAAACAAGACAATGCAACAAATCAAATAAATAAAACAGAGGATGTGTGATGGATAATGATCAGGGTGGATATGCGAGTGTGAAGAGATATGTTTTGAGGCGTGATTTGAAAATGGGGAGACAAGATCCCAGAATCTAAACCTAAAATAATGCGAAACAATACTGTAAATACATTTCAAAATGTTTACAGAGCTGTCAGAGAAGTGGGAGGATGATGAAACAGATGCACATTTATTTTTTCATAAAGAATGACTATTTTGCTTTTAAATACCAGCCCTTTCAAAGGCTTGAATCTATTCAAATCTGCATTTGAATGATGCTTCATACAAACTCTGTAACAGTGAGCATGAAGTTGAACAGATCTGTGAAATGAACCAAAGTGATCAGGATTTAAATGAAGCTGATAATATACATTTGTTTTCAATTCTGTCAGTATTTTGTGTTTGTGCATGATGCAACAGACTGAATCTTGTAGTTATCAGGATCAGATTTTAAATCTTACAATGGTTTGCACTCTTCGCATGAGACAGTAGAAGCTAACAGTGATAAAGCAGTGTCATGGTGATAATCTTTTTCTTGCCTTCCTGGTTTGATGCAGGTCTGGTTTCAGAACAGAAGATCCAAAGAGCGACGAATGAAGCAGCTGAGTGCTCTGGGGGCCCGGCGGCACGCCTTCTTCAGGGGCCCGAGGAGGATGAGGCCCCTGGGAGGAAGGCTGGAGGATCCCGACATCTTAGGACCCGGGGCCTACGGTTATTACGGAGGTAAGAATGAAAGTGTTCACAAACCACGCAGGGCCACTTTACTTAACTTTACATTTACAGGTGTATGCACAGTCCTATATGTCTTAAATATACTGGGTCATTGTTGCATGATTATTGCAAACATTTTGGGGTTCTACTTTGTTCAGCAAATGTGATCACCTCAATGCTGAGTTCATCCTCACTTTTATACTTGAATTGTATTTTACAAACACTGCCAATAGTTACCGTGTGAGGCTGCAGGAAGATTACATAAAGCGTATTTTTCATCCACTCAACACTGCAGATGGTATAGGCCAGGGGATTTGATTTGGAAAACAAGATGCACGTGATTCTTTCTTTTAAATCCATTAATCTTCTGTACAAAAATAGATAATATGATCAGTCTTTCATTTGTGGGAATGCTCTGTGAAAGTTCAAGAGTTGTTTTTCTAATTTAAGTTTTTATATAAAGATTCTGAAGGCTCGAAATAATGATTAAACCTGTTAAATTCTCTCAAACTGACTCTCAGTCCTACAGTGCTCATGCTGGAGAAATGTATTCCAATCAGTCCACAGGAGGGGTGGCACATTTTACTCATTCATTTGAACTCAAAAGATCATGTGTTTTTGTTTATAAAAAAAAATACAAAACTAGTTTTTGTGGGATTTAATCCTGCACTGGAAATGTCACCCTTACATTTTGATAAATACTAAAGCGTGCTTCAGAGCCCTTTACAGATTACAACATTTGAAAAAAAAAGTCACTTCTTGAACGTCATCCCTTTTCTGCAAAGTTCTTAATTACCATGTTGAATATACATTTGCTGTGTCTTTAACAAATGATTAGGATCAATGTTTAGACTCTTTTTAAGAAAACTGAGACGTTATAGCAGGTTTATTATAAGTTTTAAAGAAAAAAAAAGCATTGCAATAATTAATAGCGAATATTTCGAGCATTAAAAGATAAATATTCGGAAGAAGAACTCCAACCAACAAAACACTGACATGCGATTTTATATTAAAATGTAATTTGCATATTACATTATAACCTTTCAGGTCAACTATAAACATCTCTCTAGCAATAACATTAGTAATGACTTTCTTTTGGCCGGCTTAGATGAAAACATGTAGAGCTTCATGTGGTGACCAGGACACTGCAAATTCAAATAACTATGTGTCTGACTGACCTGCAGCATAACAAGCCTTTTGAATATTTGTAGCTATTACAATTGTGAAATCATCTTTTCATTGAATTCTGGAGATAGGCTCCACCTAGTTTTCCACATATTCAAATGAATTTCTGATGAAATTATAAGCATTTATTTATTTACACTGTATTTTCTATTCTTACTCAGTTGTGCTAAAAAAGCTATGCAATCTCCAGTTGGTGTAAGGACTCCTTCAAATCAATATCCCTCTAAAGAATCTCGATTGTATGCTATTAAAGCCTCAGTTGGTCAAGAAAAAAAAAGACATTTGATGACAATAGCAGATGGCCGGCATGCTATAACAGCTCCACACTGAACTGCAGGAATAAATCAGATGCACCTGTCATGTATATCAGCAGTTTGTTTTTCAAGGACAGTCTGAGAGAAATGGTTTCTATACAGCTCCTGCACATCTACCTGAAAGGCCGGGGCATTGAAGATACAATGAGCTGAAGCTGTCAAGGCTGCGAGGCAGGGAGTGGGAGGGGGAAACGTAGGACAAAACCTTCATCCCTCACTCTCCTGCTTTCTTCGCACGCTGCTTTTCACACCCTATTGTGCCGCAGCAGCAACAAGCCAGTCTGTTGGCCTCTATCCGAGCTCGCTGCCTCCTTATGTTCCTCCGCTGCTGCTTAGCGAGGCAAGAATACCTGTGTGTCTGCATGCGCGAGGGTAATTATAGTTTACAGAGCCAACACCCCCTTTCCTCAATCCCCACCCCCATCACACACACACACGCCACGCAGGCCACAAAACACACGCTTGTTGTTTACTCTCAAGGTCGGCCAAACTATCAGGGTCCTGTTTGTGAGATCAAATAATTAGCGTGTTTGTAAAGTCATGTCAGCTCCTATTGTTCCTGTTGATACTTTCCAAAAGCCACGGGCAACAGCAAATAAATGCACTTGTTATAATTAGGCACCGTATTTCTTGATATGTAACCTGTTAGCTGCCTGTTTAGACTGAAATAAGAGGGACAAGAGCATATGGTGGGAGTGCAGAAATGCTAGTGCAACATCTGGGGCAGCGGGAAGAAGTCTGCCATCGATCTCAGTTCAAGGTGGTGTAGAAACAGAATGGATTTAATGTATCTGAGGTAATTTGGAGCAGAGGGTGGATGTACATTTGGATGGAGAATATGGAAGCGGGGAGAAGCAGAAGGCAGGCGGGGGCTTGTAATTGTTAATGGGTGCAAACGGTGTGTGGAGTAATTGGCTACATGTGGAGTGGGGGAATCCTTTATAAACTGTTCTGACGGTATAAACAACTCAATAAATGTTTTAGGGAATAGTAAGTCAAATTGAATATGCAAAAGTATGGCCTCCAGTACTTTTGCCATATCAACTCTTTACATATTGCAAGCCGGTTTCTTGTCCAGGTCTGCTTCCTTTTGAGACTGTGGCCGTGTTGAAAGGATTGTAAAGCGGTGACTTCTAAAGTCTCTGCTTTATTAATAAAATAATATTTGTAAATGTTGGTAAATATTCTCATTAGTCTAGCTATCAGCTTTTATACCACTATCAGCCAGTTAGCTTTGTTTATAGAGTGGAAATGGGGAGCAAAACCTTGCCTAGCTTAGCAATATCCAATGGTAACAAACTCAGCTAATATCAAGGATATATCCCTTACTGCTTGGTTCTCTATGTACACATGTATATAGGGAAGGCACGTTTATTTGAATAGCACATTTCAACACAAGACCATTTTAAAGTGCTTCACAAGAATGAAAAAAAAACATTAAAAGCATAGATATAGTGCAACAGAAACACATTATAAAATTACATTGGAATACAGCTTAAGTGAGTGTTAATCAAATATCTCTGGTTTATAGCAAATATCTAAAAGTGATGCTCAGTGCTTGGAATCAAATAAGGGTTGGTTCATCCTAATTTAAAACCTTTTGCATCATCTACTGTTAGTTCTGGTTTATTCAAGCTTTGAGATATTCAGAATTATTGTAGTTAAATACTCACAGCAATGGACAGTGTTTTGTCCTGATTCCCTGTTGACTAACAAATACATAGTCACAGATAAAGGAACAAGGACATTGTTGTGAAAATGCTTGTACCTGTTAATAATTTTAAGCACAAGGTTGTATTTTTGGGTGGGGGCAAATATCATAGACATATATACAAAGGTTTCTGCACGGCTAGACATTACTCGAGAAGTTGCACACAAAAAAATGTAAAACCCTTAGTTTTGAATCCTGGACAGAATTCAAGATACATTCAAAGTAAACTCAGTAAACTTATAAATAATGAATGAAAACGACTTCACGTTGGAGACATGAATATGAAAATACCTACAGATATCAAACATTAGTCTTGTGCCAAAACTGCGCTGAAACCTCTCAGAGGCGTAAACATGTCAGTCAGTGTTAGAGGTTATGAAGGGAAGATTTGTAAATCCGTGTGTGTGCTGGAGATTTGTGTGAAAGCAAGGAATTTGGGCTGTATTGTGTCATTAATATGCCAGTTTCTGCTGCAGCGCTTTGAAGTGAAAGCCATGAGAAAGTTGAATTACTTTATACAATAAAAACATCAGTCATCACCACGCTTTGGTTAATATCGGAGAGAGGGGGGTTTTAAACCTCAAGTTAGTTGTTTTATTTGATGGAAAATATATATTATTGGGTTTTGGTTGGTCAGACTGTTTTGGTAAGGACATTCATTTTCCCCAGTGGATGAATCCCTGACATTGGTGATCCACTGACTTTTCCTGTGGGGCCACCATGAATGATGTACTAGATTAATTTACAGACTAAAGAAGCCATTGCTTCTGATTGATGCATATGTTGTTAAACATATGAAACCATTGAATGTAGGCCCCATCATAGAACCTCTTGATGATTGGCTGAAATATTAAAGGGTTAATGCGGTTTGCATAGAGAACAATTTTTTCTTATGATGATTGTGATGCTGCACAAATGACTGGACTTGTATGGAAAGCTATTGATGATCCAAAGCTGTTATTGTGGATACTAACACAACAGCTAGGTGTGGTTTGATGGAATAATGCAGTAATACAAATGGATTAAGAGCGGTTACTAAATTGTTTGATTAGTCGATTGTCCAACATTCAATTGGAACATTTAAATAATCAATTCATCTTTTTATTAATTTACCAAGCTTCTTAGAATATCTACAAATAATTGTAAATTGTGTTTTTGGACTGTGGGTTGGACAGATCTAGTAATGTAAGGATACCACTCTGTGCTCTAGGAAATTGATATGGATATCTTGCACTGTTTTCTGACTTTAGAGACCAAACATTTTATAAAAAAAACATTTGGCAGTATAATTGATGATGAAAATCATTGATAGTTGCACTTCTAGATGGATTGCATGCTGGGAATAATTGAGCGTGATCTGTGTAGCTCAGGAAGTAGCCACAGCCCAGTGAGGTAGAGGAGAGGGGATGGATGATGCTGGAAGCTGCACCAGCCGTGATGGAGAGGAGATGCAGTCGACAGGACCTGGCAGGAATCTCATTCTGGAGTTCCTCATCCAAATCCCGAAGTTTCAGCAGGGGAATCCATCGAGAGGCACGCATGGCTGCGAGCTGAATGAGTGAGGGAGATGAATGCAGTGTGTAAAAGGCGAGAGAACTGAGGTGGAGAGGTGTGGAGTTGTTTATACACTCAAATGAGGCTGTTGGAGACCGGTTGGTTTGAAATTGGACATGATCAATTTCACCACTTAGGTAAGGGTGGAGGTGTGAAGCTGCACACCGCTGTGGGGGACTGTGGATATTTTGATGTATATTTAAATACTTTAATAGAAAGTCTAACCCCTGGTGTTTTCTCCTGTCCCTCCGCAGAATACCAAGGTGAATATTATGGACCAGGAACTAACTACGACTTCTTCCCTCACGGCCCTCCATCCTCGCAGGCTCAGTCTCCGGCCGAGTCGCCCTACATCCTGAGCTCTGGACCCGGACCCATGGAGGGCTCAGGCCACCACCCCTCAGACGACCAAAGGTTCACGGACATGATCTCCCACGCTGAAACCCCCAGTCCAGAGCCAGGCTTACCAAACTCCCTGCAGCCTATCCCGGGGGAGGCCTACGGGGGCGGGCCCAGCCCCCCTTTCTCATTGGCCAGTAACTCCAGCTACAGCGCTCCCATGTCCCACCAAGGCCCGGAGATGGGAGAGAGCACAGCCTGGTAAAGGACAAACAACAGGGACCTTTCCTGGGCTGAATGTCAGCCTGGTTAATTCAGGAGATGAAAAAGAAAAACACACACATTGGGAAGTGAACAATACAGCTGAAATTTTTATGGAGGACTTTTTGAATCACGGACTGATTTTGACAATTGGAAACGGAATCAAGAATGGGACAGCCTGCTGGAAAAATGAATATTTGCTGCCCGGTAGACTCTCCAAAGCATTTCCCCTCCTGGATTACTGGACTTGAAATTATTTAATAATAATAATTTGTGATTCCACCCAGCAAAAAATGCTAATCGCCTTCCCCTTGATGTTAACGAAGGCATCTTGTCATGCTCTAGGGACACATTAGAGATTAATGCCAAAGGGGACATCTTAAGTTCTCTTAATTTCTGTCCACACTTTCTTTTTGCTTAAAAGCAATATGTGTTTTTATTATTATGTTCATTGACACACTACACTCAATATTTAAAGATAAAGGACCAGGTTTAAAAACATGCTTTAATTTTCATATACAAAATCGTATGTGGCAAACTAGACCTGATACGTTTAGTCAAAAACGTTGCTTTAAGCGTTCTTCTCTGTTAGACAATATGTCAAATCAAAGGCTGCTTCTTCATAGAAACCACACACACACACACACACACACACACACACACACACACACACACACACACACACACACACACACACACACACACACACACACACACACACACACACACACATCTCTGGCATTGACTTTCTCCAGCACACATCTCAGCTTTAAGTCCCTTAATGCACAAAAAGCGTTTTTTGATCATAGCCCAAAAAGAAGGGTGTCTGTACCATTATTAAAAACACGGACACAATTATACCGACACTTGTACTCACTCAAGCACACACACATCGGCTAGTATGCTTACGCATGCACACACACACACACACACACACACACACACACACACACACACACACACACACACACACACACACACACACACACACACACACACACACACACACACACACACACACACACACACACACACACACAGCCCTGATAGTTCTGCTTCTCCTGACCTTCCTTTTGTTACTGTCCCTTTTTAAAAAAAACATGTTTTAATGGAAATGATTTTCAAAAGAACATTGAACCCATAATGGAGAATCTACTTCAACAGCTGAGGTCTCCTTCCTCTAAAGAGAGAAAACAAAAGAGGGGGCAGACAACATCTGTGACATTACCACTGTGTGCTCTGAAGCACTCATTGCCATCTAGTGGCCTTAAGACACCCTGAATTAAAAATCAGTTCAAAGCAGCAGCGTCCAGCATCTTTACACACACACACACACACACACACACACACACACACACACACACACACACACACACACACACACACACACACACACACACACACACACACACACACCAAGTGTCATCAGGGCTCCAATTTGAAAAGGTGGTACTACATTAAAAGAAACAATATTTGACATCTCTTTATAATACATCTCCTGAAAGAAGACACACAAACCAAGTTATATTATTCAACACAAAACCTCTCGTTATTTCAAACCTATCATTTATTTGTGCTTTGTTTCTTAACACATCTTGAACAAAAACACATCCAACACTTTCTGTCCACACTGATTTATTTCTACTCCAAATATTGTTTTGAGATCATTTGCGTTCTCTTTGAACATTGTATAAGATCAAGCTAGAGAGTGTGTCTTATTTCTGATGTATGTCTGCTTGTGTGAGTGTGTGTGTGTGTGTGTGTCTGAGTGCTTGAGGGTGTGCGTATGCGTGCTCATGTGCGTGAGTGTGTGTGCATTTAAGGAGGGGAAAGGGGCAAGGCTGTATTATTTCTATGTAAATAGCACTGGTAATAAAACCATCTCTTACACTGGAACTCTATTTCTTCTTAAGCATCATCACACGGCTTATCTTCTTCAAAAACGGCACTAAGGTACAACTTTTACTTTAATTTCTATTCTATGCTGCTTTATACTTTCCATCCACTTTATTTTACAGCAACATAATGGCAATACTTTCTACACCTCCACAATTATTTGACAACTAGTTACTTCATTATTTTTCAGATTTAAAAAAACTAGACATAACAATCTCACAAAATGCATTGATATAAAATAAACCACCAAAACATTTTTATTAGATCATGTCAAAATGTAAAAATGAAATGCTGATACCGTTCTCTTGTCAATTATATTTTATATTTTTTCACTTAACAGACTTATTCCTTTATATTTTAAGGGCTAGTTTTTCTGTTGTCAGAATGTTTGGTTAGCAAATCCTCCTTTAGAATAATCTTTTGCACTGTAAATAAGCATTGTATTTTATTTATTTTACAGATAGATAACACTTTGAATCTGGATGTATTTATACGTTTGATCCACTTGGAGGCAGCAAAAAACCGTTTTTAATACATTAACATATCATTGACTTTTTAAAGTTGATATGGGGAAATATGAACAAAAAGCTGCTTATTTACAACAACAGACACATAGCAATATAAGCATTTGAGACGTGTTGGAGAATGCATGTCCAATATTCACTCAGATGTTGTTCTTGTTTGCTTCTCACCAAGCCTATGTTAAAATGCTGCCCCATTATCTGCTAAATACTCCTCTTTATATATTAGCCAGTTAGCTTCTAACTTTGTCTGGATGCCTTACAGATACCATACAGAGGTTTTAAAAGAGCTTTCACATGTTGTTTCAAATAGATGATGAAAGCCAATCAAAACAGTTAAACCCAGAAACCAAAAAAAATAAGCTAATAGAGACACAGATGAGTATGTGTCTGTTCGTCACCAGGAGTCACCACTTTCACATCACACTCATTTATTTGATACATTGTTAGTATAACACATTGATTAGAGCAGCTTTAAGTTGCTCTTAGTTACCGCTAAAGTGTAGCATCAGCATAAACCAAAGTGGAAGTGGAATTTTGGAATGTCTTCTTGTGTGAAGCTGACACCAGATCAGAGCCCCTCACCAGGTCCCTCTGACCCCCTCCCCCCAAACACCTCTTCATCCCCTTATCCTCCTCTTTATCCCCTCCTCTGGCTCCACATCCCCTCCTCTCGCTGAGGGGCCAGGTGGGCAGACGCTGGCCCAGGTCTGTAGTAATTTTCCCCCTGACTGGTTTTAATGTAAAGGGTAATCTGAGAGGAGACAGGCAAACACTGTGTGTATTATATATATATATATATATATATATATATATATATATATATATTCACACACACACACAGGCGGGTGTGGTCCCCAGCATCTACCATTCCATTACCAAACCGCTTCCTCTGTATTTATTTCTTCTCTGCTCCCTCTGTTTACCCTCTAGAGAATTTTCCTCAATTTCGCTTTTCCCCCTTCATTTTCTTAGCTGTGTTTCTCCATCACACACACACACACACACACACACACACACACACACACACACACAGACACACACACGTATGGAAACCTGTGCTGGGAGTTGAACACTATAACCTCTACCAAACACCCTCAGTAACCTTCACCTTCTTTTCACCCAGTAGCATCTGGTTATCACTCTGAACACACACATAGGTGCACGCTCACACTCACACTTGCGCGGCCTGTGTATCATACACACACACACACACACACACACAATCCCATTAACATCAGTACTTTTGTAATGGATGTGTTTGCGGTGCTGCTGTGGGAGAGAGGAGAGACCTGGAGTAGCTGTTATAAATCACTCGCTTGTTCCCCCTCCCCCTAACACACACACACACACACACACACACACACACACACACACACACACACACACACACACACACACACACACACACAGGCCCTCTATCGGCATCACTACATGGGGCTCCCATTCACTAACTCCGCAATCACACACTCTCTCACACACACATACATACACACAGAGACACTTTCTCCCCCTCCTACTCTCTTTACCGCCTGGGGTGGGGAAATCCTATTACCCTATGAAGAGGAGGAACACATCATTAATTACACTCACATACTCCTTTACACACACAAACATATCTGTATGCCAGACTCAATTGCAACACACAAACACCCACACATACACACACTTACAGATCTCAGCTACTCATTCTCACACAAAACTATTTTTTTTAGCTGCAATTGTGTGTATTTCTCTGTCAGCTGCACCATGACAGGTGACATCAGAGCTGGGCTGGTTTATCTGATAACACACACACACACACACACGTCAGAATGTGTGAGAGAGCAAAGTTACGATCGCCAAGAGAGATTTCAGGCAACATGGACAGGCAGATCAGGGACTGTCAGAGTGTCATCCTCAGATTTATCCAGAGCCTCAATAGCCTTTTCAAGGTTTACTAGATAGATGGATGCCATAAAGTGATACATGCACACTATAAAATGAACAGAGGAGGGGTAAGCCATGCATAGCCAGGCTGTCAGGGCGAGTGTTTATGCACCCAGGTGGGCACCTTTAGGACACATAAGTCAAGGCTGTCCCAGCAAGAATAGAAGAGGCGGTTTCACTTCAGTGAGGGGACACGCATGTCCTGCAAAACAGGTTTTAATGGCCCTGTACAGTGAGTTGCATCATTTATGCATACAGACATTTTAATTGGTCTTTAGTTTCTGTCTTTAAACTGTAAAATAAATAAAAAGCCCAAACAACAACAACATACACCGATTTGAGCAAATTGTGCAAGCTACACATGCCAGTAATTTAAAAAAGGTTGCACACACAGACATATACACACATATACAGACAGGTATGATTCACATACTGGTACATCACATCATAACGCAATGACAAATATAAGTGAAGTGTGATGGTATCAAATGATCATCTTATATTTGTCATTATTGTTGTTCTTTGTCTTCGCTTCTTTGATATATACTTGTACTTCTAATTTAAGTGCATCCACAGGATAGACAATAGATAAAATAAAAGATAGAAAATAGATAATATGCAACATGTGTGCAATCTTTCAGGATACACAATGAAACAAAAATGATAGTTAGATTAAAGTATGTGTCTGGTCAAATTACTCTAGTAACATACTAAATAAATCTGGTTAGTATACCAAAGAGATCACATTGGCATTTTAAACATGCAAACAAGTATCCCAGTTTGTGAAAAACTAATAGATTTAAATTAGTTTTTGGCTGAAATAACACAAGAGAAAGCAGAGTGGCTCTGACACAGCCACAGCGCCACCAAGTGGATTCAGGCCGTACCAACACAGCAACCATTGTACAGAATGTCAACAAGAAGCATCTTCAGATTTGAACAAACAATAGTGAGAGCCGAGACCTTTATTTAGCAGGAATGAAGAAATTCAAACAGAATTTCAAGTATGTTTTAAGTACCTTTTAAAAAAACAAAACAGCATAGTCAAATTATTTGTAAGGAACACAAACATTTTTCTATCAAGGCCAGGGTACGACAAAATAAATAATATAAAAACAATCTTTTTGTACTCCATCACAAGAGCCATGACATCCAAACACTTTAGTTTACGGCAGATGCACAGTTGATCCAGGATAAAGTGCTTACATTGTGTAAGTACTCTCTAAAATGGGCAATAAACATAGTCCATACTTTGGACAAATATATTGTTACAATGATAGAAATGTGAAGAAACAAAACACTAGACACTGTTCAGATTAAGAGTAATCTTAAATAAGGGGAAAGGATGAGGTAAGGCATGGGGTGTCCAAACTACGGCCCGGGGGCCAAATGCGGCCCACGGACCATTTTGAATCGTCCCTCAGCTAATTCAAAAAGTATAATGGAATATGGCCCACAAATGAAACTTGTGCTTGTCTTATATTGTACTTCTTATATATACATGTAAACATATATTACACAGTAGTATTCATGTATTAATAAGACCACTTTTCAAATAAATTCAGTCACTTAAAGTTCTCTAACATATCTTAGTTGATAAGAAAAAAGCCCAATGACTTATTTACATAACAAGCTTGAAATACATCCTTCCTATTTCTCCTTATTATAAGCAAACTGAGGCTTCTGTTTTAAGGGATGAGCTGCCAACACTCACAAGCATACTTGACCTACATTTGATTGATTTTGATAACTTATAACTGAACTTGAGGCAATATACCTCCAGTGAGTGGCCTAGCCCTTCGTATATTTTTCTGTATGTGTCCCTCGGTGTAAAAGGTTTGGACAGCCCTGCTTTAATGTGTTTGTCCACTGTTCCTGCACACAATGCTAGAATAAGTCATGCAACCAATACGACCAGACTTATGTTAGGCCCTGTGCATCTGTGTACATTTAATACCAGAGTGAACAAACTCAATTTCCTGGAGATAAATAATGGGTCTTCTTCTTGTCATTTGTCACAGTGAACCTCTTTATAGATCTCTTTAAGTCAAATCTGGCACACATTGTCACAGTCTTCTCACTTTCCCCCTGTGGCGCCATCCATCCACCAAAGGCCCTCAGTACTCTCTCACCTGTTTCCTCTTTCCCTCATTAGCCCTGTAGTAAAACCTGGCCCATTTCCACTCATTCAAAGCCAGAGTGCTACCAACGCTATAAACGCCTGTATTTCCAAACGGGGATACATCAAGTTCCCTCTTATCTTATGTTTATGCCTTTGCTTTGCAGACAGCTGAGCCTGTTCCTGTTTTTTTTCCTGATCTGCTCACCTGTCATCCTCTTTGGATTTGTATTCCTGTTCCCCACCGACAGTATAAGCCTGTTCCTGACCACCAACACAAGTACATTTCCCATCATTCTACTTGCTTGCATTGGGTTTCAGTCCTCCTCCTGTCATTGTCAGATGTTACCGTTTTTTCCCTCGTTGTTAAACTAATATGAACAGTAAAAATGGTACATGCACACTATAAAACACAGTATGCACACATGACA